CTATATGATTACTGATGCGATCATGTGACTCAAAAACTGCACAAAATTTAAGTGCGTGCGTCTACAATGTACCGTTATTGTTGCATCTTGTACTGGTAACTAGCGGCCGCCACGACTTCGTACGCGTGTATCCCGTTTTACCCCGTTTGGGGTGTAGTTTCGTAAAATCCTTTCTTAGCGGATGCCTACGTCATAATATCTACCTGCATGCCAAATTTCAGCCCGATCCGTCCAGTGGTTTGGGCTGTGCGTTCATAGATCACTATGTCAGTCAGTCAGTCAGTCACCTTTGAGTTAGGTATATAAATTTAGAATAATATAGTTGAAATAAGAGTAATTTTGCGATAAAATCTGTATTCTTAAGTGCTTGCAAGTACATGAATTATTTGATTGGTCGTCATACAAAATCTACTGCTAGTCCGAACAATTAATAAAAGCTCTCACAGTCTGCAACTTCCTGTTATACATTTATTCAAGGATAAACCCATCCTAATAAGGCCAACCCTAGCAATAAAATGCGGCCTTAAGTTATTGACCTAAAAGTCTTGTAGTGATTTAATATAGTAATTCTGGAAGCCTTGAACCGCCGCCTACGCCCTACGCTGCCGCCCTATTATGACGCCGCCCACGGCTCAGCTGATCACCGTCTCGGTACTTGAATAACCTCCTTTTCTCAAGGTAAAAGCTAACGTATTCACAAACATTACTATGAGGTCTCAAAGTGCGCGTGGACGCACAGGGTGACTCGACAGGACGAAATAAAGATCAATCACTTGGCCGTTAAAATAAAAAGTAAGCCACTTTTTCGTTGCAGTTCGCCGTGCAATTGGGTTTTCTCACTTTTTCGTCCGTTCCAATAAATTTATTCTTAGTAACATTTAATTTGAACTTACGAACAAGTATAGTTCTTTAAGAGTTTTGCGCCCGTATTCACAAACGTTACTATGAGGTCTCACAGTGCGCGAGGACCAATCACAGAGCTCTATTCAACGCTGTGTTCGATTTGCTGCTTCACTTTAGCAAGCATCGTTTGTGAATACGGTTTATTAATAAAACGTTTGACAAATCGTCAAATATTTTGCTCTTAAGGAGCCTCTACATGACTCAGAATCTTTTTACCCTACTTTCATCATCAGCAGGTCATTTAGCCTCCACTACAGAAGCACGACTCTCTCATTTTCAAGTTACTCGTATTACAAGGTATAAGAAGCAAAGTTAGTTCATCCTTTGGTTTGTATGAAGAAATACTGAAACTATGTGAGTGTAAAAATCTTACTGTGTAATGAGCATTGAGATTTTTTTTTTAGATTATATTAAATGAGGTAACGTCATAATTTTAAGTTTTGCGCATTCTTTAGCTGTATATCTAACTTTGATATGCTGTCGTCCGTTCAGTATACTCGTAATCAATATAATTAATTACAATCATTAAATAAAAGCGCCCGCTCCCTACGTATGCAATTGAAACGTCCGACAATGACGTTTGAACTTCAAAGGTTAAAATAACCTTTGGCATGACTTATGTACAGTCTCACACATCATCACATTTTTGTTGAAAAACAGTGCCTATTTCAAGTATATTAGATGCCACATTGTTAAACTTAATGTGCAATCGTCCAACTGTGGTTTAGTCTGCGTCATTTTACTGCAAAGGGGGCCTTTTCCCTACTGTCACTCTCCCACATTCATATTTAACCTCGTAAGCCCGGATGTGCCTCAGAAGGAACTGAAACTTTGTAGTCGGTAACGCCGAGACATTTTCGGAGGTGAATTGTAAGTATCGCCGGATGTGCCTTCCGAGGAACTAAAACTTTACCGATAATTTTAAGTTCAAAAATTCGCGCCTATCGAAAAAAACGAGTGATAGTCTATGGCTCAAAGTATTCAAAATCAGGTATCCGAACTTATTAATGTAAAAAAAACAAAATGTCACTGTCAAATTACCATTTTTCTTTGAAAAGGTGGTTCTTCCGAGCGGACGTGATTTACGATTAATTTTTTTTCTTCACGTAAACGTAGTTTAATTGAAAAACTAACCAGTGTAATTAAAGTTAAAATACTGCTAAACAAGCAAAGAAAATATTTTTACCAATTCGAAGAAGTTTTGTATGATTTTTTTTCGTTTGAAAATAATAGTTCTTTGCAAGGAACATTCGGTCTTAATGGTGAAAGTTTTATTTTTGTATATTTTTTCTATTGAGATGAATTGAGAATTGGACTTTTAAAATTGTATGTTATAAAACCGATAGTACTTTTAAAAGTACTAATTATGGAACATTAAATAAAATTAAAATACTTGTGCCTTTTCAGTTACATTTATTAATATCATTATTGTATCTTTATGTACTATTAATTTATTAAGGAGGTTACATTTATGTTTTACTTTAAAGTATAATATACAATTTATTTACTTTTTCTTTTTAAAGTCTGTAATACCGAATGTTCTTTTAAGAGAAAACATTTTTTTATTATTTTTTACCTAAAATAAGCTCTATGCACTATTATATAGGGTCCCTGAAAATATGGGTGCAAAAGAAAATCCCTAACATAGAAATTTTTTTACTCGAAGTGCTCGGCGTTTACGACTTCAAATTATTCGTTCTTCTGAAAGCACATTCGGCGATACTTAGAAGTTGACAAAATTTACTCTTCGGTCTTACGAGGTTAAATTAGACGCATATTTTATCAAAATGAAAATATAAAACGTATATTAAGACTGTACCGAAGAAATTCAATTTGGTATGCAGTATTTCTTAAGCCGGTCACAGAAATGTGTCAAGATGTATGCGAAGATGCACAAAATGAATTCAAAAAGAATCATTGGTAAATATTGTAACTAGGTCTGGGTTGCATCTTCATTTAACTTTGACAAACGTCAAAAATCTGCCAAACTCCATCAAAAAACACCAGTTATCGTTATAGTTACGGTCAAAGTTGGGTGGTGCAACTCAGCCTATTTACAAGTATTATAACGTATGAAAAGTTGTTCAAATACTCCGTTAAGATTCTAATTAACAGAACTATAGTCTACTACTCGTATGTGCGCTATCTTTGCAAATACTTTTCTAGAAATATTAGCAAAAAGAAAGAGAGAAGAATGGTATTTTTCCATAACTTATATTAATTCTGAATCCTGTTTGTGTTTTAAAATAACGCAGAATGAGGATCGATTAAAGACGCCAGAAATATTGGCTTAATATTAATTAACGCAACTTTCAAAAAAGGTTGGTGACCCTTATTATTTATTTATTTTTAATCTTACAATACCTAGAAACAAGGGCTACGTACTTAATATACGTGAAAATTTAAGATAATTTGGTTCCGGGTAAAATTTCCCTGAACCTGAATTGAAGGAGTTATCATCGATTTTAAAATGACACATATCCGTGCCTAACGCCACACGCAAAAAAGTGATGACACTGAAACGTGCCATCCGCAACGAATCGGTTTAACTTAGAACTTCTCCTATGTCCTTCTGATTAATTTCGTTGCGGGTCCAATGACAGTTAACTTTCCTTCGGAACAAACTTGACCTTCACTGGTTGGTTATCTATTGGCGATCAAGCTGTAGATCCTGGCTACACAGGAGTTGCAGTGGGAACGAGAGGTGGGAATAGTCCCGTAGTATCTGGCCTCATCACTAGTAACCTACAAACAACTGAATCATACACAGATCATAATAATAATGTGTGAAGCGAAGCGGCCTGTTGTCGCCGGGTGCCACCACCAGTGATATTATCCAATGAACAAATTGACGGGCTCACATAACTGGAGTTCGTTTGAAACTATTATTTAGTTATGACTAAGTGGGTATGTCGCTATTTGTACAAACAAGCCTTGTGATGTACTTTAAAATAAAAAGGAGGGCTTCTCAGTACTTATTCTTAAAGCTGCATTGGATCAACAATAATTTTCAATTTAGACAATGTAGGTTTAATTTCTAAGCTGCCACCATGACGGGTTTAAAAATCTCTTTGTGGAGATAAGTTCACTAATAGGTATAACTTTCCATATCTCTAGAATCTATCTTAATAACAAAAAATTGAAACTACATAAAATGCCACACTGTTTAGCTTATTACGCCGTGTAATTGCCTGTACCGACTATCTAATTCAAAATAACACTTATATTATACACCACTAAATTAATCATGACAGTTTTATTTCCAAAAATGTATTTTTCCGGATACAAAAAGAAATATTTTCGTATTTTCGCACCCTAAAAGAATTATCAAATATTAATACTAACCCTGTACATTTTGAGACAGAATATATTTTTAATTTTTCCTTCGGAAGGACACTTTTTCGCAAGAAAAGCATCATTATTTATTTACGTTAGGGCGTCTCTACTTCTCTACGTTAGAAATGTCATACATATTTGACGCATTCTCCAAAAAAACACTTTACACCGTTGTAATAAACAATACTAGGCAGCTTTTCGTTTTATTTCCTTGTTTAAATGGTTTAAATTAATAACTTCGAAGTTATGAAAATTGCAAAGATTTTCTCAATATCCCAATTCACACTGTCAAAACGAATAATTTCAAATCTTCATCAGTATCATTTAAAAATGCTGTAAAAGTAACAGATTTCTTAGATTAAAAGCTTCAAATCGAAAAAAATCGACCGCAAACATTGCGAAAAGCAACGCAGCAAAAACGGGCAAAACGATTAATTCCAGTACATCTGATTTCCTGATATCGTGCGCCAACCCGCAAGGCGCAAGGAACGTCCCCGAAACAAAGAACGTGGACGTTCACGGAACAAGGTCGGGGACGATTATGGCGAAACGACTGCCATCCGACCACCCAAGACAGTCTTCACCCACCCCGAGACCTTCTCCTGACCGTGAAGTGACTACAAGCGTTGTCAAAACTCCCGAAAATCGCACGTAGCTACTACGGCGTCTACGAGTGCTACGAGCCGCGGCGTGGAGTCTGCGCGTCGATAATTTAATGTTTGTTATTTTTAATTGAATTTTTGGGATAGTAAAGCACTTACCTGGTGTAGATCTCTCGTTCCCTCGGATTGAAGGTCGGTCGTCGGCTGCAGAGCACTGGGTTCACTCGCGCGGCTGCGGCGGGCGGCGATGGCTGACTGAGCCCGGCCGGGAGCCGTTCCCCCCGCGCCGCCTCCCCACCCCTCGCCCTAGCGGATAAACAACGTGCATAGTGGGCCCGATCTGTGGACCTACTCTCCTGAACGCACACACACACAACCGCGACGTATGATACAACACGCTCATCCATTGCTTGTTTTGGTTTAACACTTGTGAACGTTATTTATTTTGTGCCAGCAATGGTTGCCCGAAAGCTTGTATTGCGATACAAACGGTAGCGAATAAGGAGTGGATATCAAATAAATTCACTGCCCAGATAGTAGTCTAGCGTTATAGATTTTGGATTTAAGTCTTACGGTGGTACAAATCCAGGGGAATGATAATGTACTTTGGCCCGTTTTTGCCTACTTACCTGTAATATCGTAGATTTGGCTCGGTTGTTTTGATAAGATAGCGGTTTTCGCAAGTAAATTTCGTAAGTTAGGGAAACGGATTCCAGACGCGCAGAGGAACGGTAAAACTTTAACAAGTGGAGTATACTAATGCAGGAGACTTTGAACCATTTTGTTTTTTATAGTTATTATTGGTAAATATTCGTCTTGTTAACCTAGGTATTCTTTTTAAAAACGATTTTGAAACCAAATTACTCAACGGTAATAATTTGGTTTCAAAAACGATTTTAGTTCAATTCAAAATGTTCATTGTTCAATCAATGTTTGATGGGTTTCTTTGACAGTACCTTAAAAAGTACGGCCAACTAGCAGTGATACGAAAGGTCATTGCAACTGTCGAGTTGACAATCTATTCTCTCTTCCCATCTTGTGTATTTGTCGTAATGTCTCGTTCTCCCACCAAAATATGTCAGTCAAGACGGGTTCGCCAACATTCGGACATACATTTTAGTATACATAGTAATTGTTGCAATTCACGAGGGCGAATCTGTTACGTCGGTTCTTATTTTATTATTCCGATATATTTAAGTCTCTATGAAAAAGGGGTAGGCCTGTTGCCATACACCACATTATGGCACATTGTGAGGCAGGTCTATCAAGGATCTACTTTATACAACAATTCAAATTATAACAAAAACAAAATTCGATAAAACATCTATTTTTATGGTTTGCCAGATATTTTTTATAACTACATTATACGGGGTGTTAGGTAAATGGGTATATGAGCCGACACTAGCTCATGTTAACATGGTCATATAAATGGTATGGTGAAGTCAGAAAATTGATATCTTCATTTTAATTATTTTATTTTTCATACAAATCGGATTTTATCAAATTTATTTTGTATGAAAATTTAAAAAAATAAAATGATGATATCAAATTTCTGACTTCACCATACCATTTATATGCCCATGTTAACATGGGCTAGTGTCGGCTCATATACCCATTTACCTAACACCCTGTATAGTCTACAAAAATATGTAATCTAACTATTAAAAAGTTATGCACCCCTGCTATTCCTAATGACCATGACATTGGGTTTGTTTACATTTAGTATCGCTTCTCGTTGACCGTACTTTAGATAGTTTATTAATGTCATAGTTTTAGCTTATGATAAGGTAGTTGAAAAGTTCAAAGTCAATTTTATGCAAAGATGACTACGTATTTTTGGAAATAAAAACAATCCAACAACTGATTGTTCTATCACATGGGTGAATTTCAACAAGTGCATATTTTTGCCTAATTTTGGTGGAAATTGTTATTTGTGTATTTTTATTCTTTAATTATAGATCAAATTTATTGGAAACTTATACTGTTTCTAAAATGATTAAGACATTAAATTTTGTCTAGTAGTTTTTTAGATTTTCCTTACACCAAAATTAAGAGAACACCAAAATTCATATTAAAGCACCAAAATTAGAAAATCTGCTGTCAGTCGGTCATATCTTAGTGCCAAGCTTAAGAAATGGTTTTAAATTTACCAGCACCGACTCCAAAAATATTAATCATGGTATATTGTCCTAATAAATAAATAACGACGTACTTATTTTCTACTTTTAAGTGATTTTTGGCGTCGGTTTTAATTTTTTTGTTAAAATTATTTTTTTTCATGCTTTTTAGTTGATTAGTCCTTGTTATTGTCACTGAAGAGGGACAGTACCTATGTTTAATGTGATTAAGACTATAATTTTCCATTTTGTTATGGAAAATTATAGTCTTAATCCCGTCTGCCGTCACTGCTCGCGGGGGCGGTACTAAACCTAACGAATGATGGGAGTGTTTAAATCCTGTTTGATCTTTAAAGAAACTGACGAGCTATTTCATTATTGACACCAAAATCATAAATTTTTCGCGGACAAAACTTAAGGACGTGACTTAATCACAGTTATTTGGGAAACTTGCTTAATTTGGTAATCTTAGATAATAGATAGATTGTATAATCCAAAAATATACTTTTTCCCTAAGTTAAAAAAATACATATTGTAAGAAATTAAGGATGTGGACACTGCACCAAAATTAGAAACGCTTAAATTATTTTTTGTCGAATTTGTAAAAGAAAATACTCATTAATAATGTTGTCCTCAAAATGGAATCTCTGTATATTTTCGTGTAAAAAAAAATCAAAGTTCTATGTCATAAAAAACATATGATTTTCAGCTACGCCGCTCAAAAAATGTGTTTGGGAAATTGACCCACATACGACAAAACTTCCAAAAAAACAACATAGAGACCTCGGAGATCGGTTTTCAACTCTAAATACATGTCCAACTCTATTATTCTCAATTTGTAGCGTCAATTACTCACATCCCTATAGATTAAATTGTAAAGTTGTCCCTTGCAAGCGACATTAAGGGACCATCACTACTGGGACCACTTTTCCGGGTTCCACATCCATTAATTGAAGTGGTCAAGTAATAGCTCCTTTGCATAATTCCCCTGGCAGGGTTAGATTAACCTTGGCTTAAGTTGCAGTATCAACATAGTTCAACTTACATGCCTTTTTATACAAACATCGCTTGCCTTTCTATAAAAAGTAAATGAGCGTTGAACACTTGTTTAAATTGACATTTATGAAATGTCATTTTAAATTAGTGTTCAATGCCCGAGTATTTTTGCAATAAGGATCCCATATGTTTATAGGGGAAAATATGTCTTTAAAGTCTTTGATTAATTATCTCTTTAGTCAGTAGTTAGAGGACGGTCTTATATTAGAATTTGAAGGCTTATTTTTAAATTCTCTTATTACATAACGGCTGGCCACGGGCTGGAAGACGTAGCGTGGGCAGGCCTCCTACTAGGTGGACCGACGATCTGGTAAAGGTCGCGGGAAGAGCCTGAATGCGGGCAGCGCAGGACCGTTCATTGTGGAAAACCTTGGGGGAGGCCTTTGTCCAGCAGTGGACGTCATTTGGCTGAAAAGAAGAAGAAGAAGAAGAAGACATAACGGCTGTTTGGTGTAGTGATTCGCATACCGGACTGCTATGACAGAGGTCGCGGGTTCGATTCCTGCACAATGCAAACATTCCCAATAAAGTATATACCCATCGTGAAGTACACTTTAAAAGATAAACTTAAGCCCAATAATATCTGATAAAGTACCTATCTAAGAGTATCCTTATAGCAATGATGAACTTTTCTTGCTTGTAGACATAAAACTTATAAATGTTTCATTTGGTTTCATCAACCTATACCCCAAATGACTCAAGACTCGAGTACCTATATCCCAAAGCGTATTCCACGATAAGAAGCAATCCCACCGACAGAAAATAAGCAAAACCCAACCCTGTAAAATATGTCGCGAACCGTTTTTGCCCAAAAACATACAATAGTGAAGCCCCCTTAAGAGACAGGTCCAATTCGCGGGGCTCGCATTTATCCTTCAATTGGAGCGGGCAGGTAATGGCGCTCATGCATAATTCCCCGGACTCAGTCAGGAGCGGCCCTCGGAAATGAGCGGCCCTGACCGCATTATGTAGGAACAAAGAAATTTAGAAACGCCTGCGTTATTCTTAAAGGAATCGTCCAATTAGTGCCGGAGTTTGGACTTGACGCTTGGTTTCGGGAACGCGATAATGCTGCCCGCAAGTTCGTAAAACTGATCAATCTGCTCAAAAGTCCAGTCTACTAAGACCTCTTGTGGATACAGGATTGCATATAGCTGAGGGGTCAAGCTACGATTGTAGATTTACGTTGTTAATCAAAATACGTGTACACCAGATTTTCAGTTAAACGACAAAACGAACATTCATATAAGAGACGTAAAAGCTATTTAGCGATTAGAGTCGCTTCTCAAACTAAATTTTAAATAAATAAATTGAAAAATGGAACTGCCTAAGGCGGGAATCGAAGCCACGACCTCGGCATTCGCTTGCCGGGCGACTGCTCTTCCTAACGTAAAAACTAACCCATTATTTTAGCTAATGTAGTATGTTTTATTATAATGTAGTGCACGAGTAGGTATTACGTATTACCTACCTGGGAATTGAACCAAGGTAATCTAAATGTTTCGGAGGTGTTCCATTATTGTTGGCAAATCACATTCCTTACCTCAACACATTACCTCATTTGACTACCTTCATAGATTTTTATTTTAATGCGAAAAAAGAGCCAATTGAAAACGCAAAAATGCCGTGATACAACCCCGTTAACCAATTTGGTATCTGGCAAATATGAGCTGAGCAAACAAGGACTGTATCCCATGGGCATACGGTTCACAGGTCATCGACGCGTAGGTACAGTCAGTGTCAAGAGTAATATAGCATCTAAAAGTTTCAAAATAACTACCATGTTATATCAGTGTGCTTACCATGAGTTTACGTTCTTCTTCTTCTTCTTCATTTATTGATGGCGATGGACTTGTGTTTTTTCGCCACTGGGGGCACACTGTTCCGCCAATGTGAGTTTACGTTAGGTGTGTTCGCTAGCGACTGCGAAAAAAAAAATGTCATTAAATGTATGACATTTTGTGCAGCGCCACTAGCGGCTACTTTCAAGAAATAAAAACTTCATACATTTTTTGACGTACTCGCTAGCGACCAAAACTAACGTAAACTCATGGTAAGCACTCTGATTGCTTGT